AAGGTAGTGAAAATGAAAGAATTTTCTCGACTATTCGAGAATGAGTATGTATGAGAGTAAATTTATTCTGTACATGATGGTATTATATGGATTACATTATATTTGATTTTACAATTTCGATCGGAAGAGTCTGACCTCTGGTGAAAATAATATTTACTATTTGCTTTGATTTCTAATTAAGATGAATTTGCATTCTCATATTTTCAAGTAATTTTTATATCAAAAATTATATTTTAACGTATAACTCGTACTAAAATGATTTTATCTATATGCAATACGTTTGGACAATCTCCATGTCCTTCGAATTGATAAAAAACCGTCAGTTAACCGAAAATATTCTGGTTAGCACGATTAACCGCAGTCAACCAGCAGTTATTTTAGGTTAACCAATGGTACACATGAGTAATCGGCAGTCAACAGCTGTCAACTGACAGTTCTTTATCACCACGCTCTCATAAGTTCTCTCAACTAGTAGGTACATTATATCGAATTTATTCTATGAATTAGTACACAATTAAAATTTATTAATTCATACCTATAATTGAATCAACTGTTGAGGCAAATCTAAATAGGAAAAAAAAAATAATTTAATTTTTAATAAATTCAAACATACATTAATTCAATTGTTGGACTAAATCGAAATAGAAAAAAAAATAATTTTCTTTTTAATAAACTTATACTTACATTGATTCAATTTTGTTGCACCAAATCGAAATGGAAAAAAACCGATAATATATATATGGCAGGGAAAAGACAATATAGAATGAAAAGATCCAAAGACAGCTTAGTCAAACTAGGAGAAAATATTTTGGATCTCTATTTTACTCAATGAATATTTATATATGTTACATAAAAAAGCTATGTGTATATCAAGAGAAAAAGTCTAAGAAATCTTTTCTATGGTAACTGATAAACTTTCGGTATTATGAATAAGTTCGCGATAAATTATTTTTATAAATGTTCATAACTAAAAATAACTGAACAAAACCGCCAGTTAAACATCGTTTTAGAATTTGACCGTCGGTTAACTGGCGATTTTCAAAAGAAAAAGATGACATAGGTTTTTTGCACTGACGGAGGGACCTTTCCAATGTTAGCGAATAATAGAAAAACCGAGAATGGTTTAGTTTTCCTGACTTTCATTTTTTCGATATCAAAATTTTACTGAAATTTTCAACAAAAAAGCTGTGATTCCATTCAGGTCACATGAAAAATCTAATCATTGTAGACTTTTCTATTCCTTACTAATATTTATTAAATAACTATCGTCTCGGACGAAAATCGATTTGTGACATTTGAAGAAATTTCTTTGTGAGTTATTTTTTTTTACCAGAATTGCTCTAAAAAAAACTGAGCCCATATAAATGGAAAGAAAAGAAAACACAAGTTACATATTAGTAACTAAAACTTTTTTCAGGCCAATTATCGATAATGCAATGTGTCTATTGTACGACAAACAACACGTAATGTTCATATAAATTTTTTGTCATTTTTCTTTCCAACTATGGTATTCAAAAGAGTGTCGGATACTGCATAAAATGACAGATATTTTGTAGCTTCATGAAAGGTGTTTTCGATTTTTGAAGGATCACTTTTTGAAAGATTAGGAACGTCTGATACTCTTTCGAATCTGATATTTGAAAAGAAAAATGATAATGAGTTTACATGAACATTGTATGTTGTAAAATAGGCATATTACCATATAGAAAATTTACTTGTAAGAAGTTTCAGTTACGAAAATGTAGTTTGTATTCTCATCTTTTCATGTATATAAGTTCAGTCGTTTTAGAACAATTCTGATACAAAATAATTCAGTTTAAAAGATCATTAACAAAAATTTTGTCCAAAAAAAATGTGACTATCCTAGATTGCTATATGTCCAATTTCACAATAACTCAACATTTAGAGACAAAATCTTCTTTGGATGTAAGACGATGGAAAAAAAGTTTAACAACAATGTATTTTTGATATTTTTTTCTGTAATGTTAAGTACCTAACTCAATTCTAGATAGTGATTTTAATGACCAGTGAAGTTTCCTATGTAATGCATTCTATAGTAAGATTTCATAGATGAACTATGATAACAAGTTTTCTAAAAAAAATCGGATACAATAGTTTTCAGATCTTAGAAGACTTTATTAGAACTATTTTTAACAAAGCTATCGTAAAGAGCATAAAATTCTGAATAAAATAAGCGATCGTTACATTTTCTATGGCCTTCCTTTAAAAAGTAAAAAGTGTCACACAAACTGAAATTAATCAAAAAAATCGACTAAAAACACGCTTTTTTTTCTGTTTTTGTGATACTTTTAACTTTTTAAAAGTAGGTTGTAGAAAATGCACTGGCCACTCGTTTTGTTTAGAATTTTGTGCTCTTTAAAATGGCATTGTTCTAAGATAGTTCAACTTTTTGGATACCTTGTTATCATAATTCATCTATGAAATTTTACTATAGAATGTTTTAGATAGAAAATTCTATTGACTATTGAAAGTACTATCTGAATTTGAGCAGATTACTTAATATGATAGAAAAAAAAATTAAAAAATACATTATTGTTAAATGTTTTTTTCACTACTTTCGTATAGACATTGACTGTATTTTTGACGCAAACTATCCATCAAGAGTAAGCTTTATACCAAAGTTTATAGTACAAACCAATTCATTCACAAACTTTTGTCCAGTATTGTATGTAGAATTATGAGATAAACAAATGTCAAAAAAAAGAATGAGATGTCTCTTTATTTCTTACGCCATTGTTCTAAATCAAGACCATCAAACTTGCTCAAAGTTCAAAAAATATTTTTCATTCTATTGTGAACTAATTGCACTTACCTACGTATATGATGAGACAGTTATCATACATTTTATCAATTCTATTTCAAAGACAGACATCCATTCATAATTGTGCATATAGAACTTAATTTTTAATACTAAATAAGAAACTGAGGATACTTATCAATGATTGCAAAATCATAATGCATTCTCTTTGATTCAATTTACTAGCACTTGTTTTATTTTTCATATCATACTTATTAGCTATTTTGACTATGAGCTTTATTTTGCAATTTTTGATTTAAACTGTTTGAAAACAAAAATCACCAGTAGTATGATTTAAATGAAAAATTTTGTTTGACATTCTATCAAATATGTATTAATCAAAGATCATAATGTTATGCAACAAAAATTTGTCAGATAAGATAAATAAAATAGAAATATATCCTTCATAATCTTCGAAATTTATTTTCGCAAATATAAAATCAGATTATAATTAGTATTAACATTATTCTTTTAAATGACGCTTAATAAAATCAAGTAAAGCATTTGGTTGATCAAAAATTTCAACGCCCCTCGGAAGATCTGGTGTTCGTTTTAACAAAGCTGTTGTATTTTTTGTATAAACTCCAAGAGGGCTTGCACCAAGATTAAGATTCTGAAAAAGTTGAACAATATCAGTAAAACCTTTGTTTTCGTGTACATAAAAACCTCGACATATAGTAATAAATTTTTCTCGTCTATTGATGTCACGTAAATTCATTTTTAAATATTCTTCAACATCTTTACATGTTGATTTAAAGATGATTTCTAATGTTGGATGACGTTTTTCAACTTCATTAGCTGTTTTTAGATCGTTGTCAGGTGTATCAATCCAAAGTAACAGTGGTTTTAATGAAGAAGTTGTTGGTGTGTCGTGAGTTTTGGGATTCGATGATGATGTATGTGAAGATGCTAGAAGAAAAAATTGAATTTAGATAGAAGATGAAAATTTAGGTCATTTGTATTTGATGGACTATCAACTAATGAATATAGCAATGTTGGAGATATTAGTAATTTATTTTTCTCGAGAAAGCGATTTGAAATAAGTTTTTTTTTATGAGAAAAAAATTCTTTAAAGAATGGAATAAGATCTGAATAAAAAGACAGAAATTATTTTATGTAGTCAAAATTATAAAAGAACATAGATTTTGACTAATCATTTGTATTCTTTGTCTTAAAACTGTGACAGTATGCTATCAGTCATATACATTATAATTCAAAGAAAGTGTGTTTCAATCTTAATACTGCCTAACTAAAGATTAATTATAGTCAAGCTAATCAATCAAACCATTCAACTAAGATTATTTCAACTATTTGTACTTTATTCCTATTATTTCAGTTTATTCTTATAATAATTTCTAATGATGATTGGTATCATATAAAACTCAAATGATTGAACAAGAACGGTTCCATATTAGATTAGTCCTCTGTACATAGCTATAATTGAGTTACAAGTAAAAAGATTAAAGATTAGCGTAGAAACTTATCATCTGTAAGATGTATACTTTCAAGTTCACACTGGTAGTTTTATTAGAATTCTCAAG